ATATACAATAAAACAGCTTTTTAGGGCAAAAACTAGAAGTCTGACCCATCACAGAACATCAGTCAAGACTGCAGGACATGAGGGTACGTGCAGAATTGGACACACTCCAACACTGAAACAACACTTTAGTAGCAGAATCAAAGAAACCTAAAAAATACAGGCGTTCTCCAAGGTAAGTCAGTATTTTTACAGGCAGCACGTATGTAACAGGCAATATAAACTACTTAGTACTAAGGTACACATGTATTAACACAACTGCTCATGTTCCCAGTTTTTGACTTCGCATTCTTTTGTGTATTTAAAACGACAGTTGCTACAAGCACACATGCAACTTTATTATCTGACCCTATTGACTGTTGGCATTCAGGAGGAATCGAAAATACTGAAATGAGTATCTCAAGTAAGCGTGTTGGTAAAATCATAAGACAGGACAGGCATTAACATACACAGAAACGCATGAAGTCCAAGCAGAATGCTAACGTGATTTGACAATCTCAGTGTAAGTTCCAGAACTTAAATACAGAGTTAAACGGCTATGGCTGCTGATTGTTTGTTTTGTTTTTTTTCTTTGTTTGGGGTGGGTTTTTTTGTTTGTTTGTTGGTTTTGGTTTGGTGGGTTTTTGTTGTGTTGTTTTCTTTGGTGGGTTGGTTGTTTGTTTTTTTTTTGGGGGGGGGGAAGGAGTGGGAGGGAAAGAATGGTATGTTTAAACTGTATACACATCTGGTAAAAGTATCTGCTCTATGTTTTAAGAAGTTAAGCCAATTCCAGATGAGTAACTGTAACGAAAACCGGGTGACTGAAAAAGGAACTAAATGTTACAAGAGTATTTTTAAAACCTTTTAGTAGACTAAAGCCCTATTCTAGACTAAGAATGCAGGAAAAAGGAACATCACAGGCTTTGAAAACTAGAGACATTTTCTACATCTTACTTACAAGCCAGCTGCTTTACTGTTTAGGTTTTAAAGAGTATTCCCATTTTTTTTTCAAACTTCATTTCACAAACATAAAGCTCTTCTTTCTAACCTACCTTCAGCCCTATTATAAGAAGTTCATAAACGGACTGAACTTGTTCTAAACTGTTTGATATTAGAAAAATAAATATTGTGTTTAACAATATTTTACGTTGTTTCATTTGTTAGACATCTTTATTGCCTATTTTAGAATAACAGCATTCTAGTCAAAATGAAACCAGATAGAAGGGGCAACGGTTTTTAATTATACGGTTTAAAATGTTTTGGTTTAAAATCAGCCAGTACCCACATACTAGAAGAAAAGGTAAGAAAAGATGAAATTTAAATTCCATTTAAATCAAAGCAAGAGATTGTACAAGGAAGCAAGTTTCCTGGTAAGCATTACTAACAATACAAAAATGCTAACCATTCTTTCAGTGTTTCATACCCTCATAACAGAGGTGCACAATGAATAGAAGTCTCAACAGTATCAAGTCTTAGCCTGACTCAAATCGCCTTACAACGTAAGAGAATTCAAATAGACTCTGAAGAACAAAGAAAGAAAGAGAGAAACAAACAAACAAACAAAACTACCCTCACCTTTACAGCTATGAAAAAAAAAAAACACCAGCTATTTCTTCTGGCATTATCTTTCAGCCAAAACCAGAAAGATTAAGTTTTTAGTGAGAAAACAAGTAAGTCACTTTGTGATAGTGAGTGAACTTACGAAATCAACTAATATTTGTGCTCAGGCTTAATGGCACATGTGGTTTCCTCCTCTTTGTCACTAAATAAAAGCATTGCTCACTCTCATACAAGAAATTTCAGACAGTTACAGTGAACCACTCTTAAAATGGAAAATCCTATCTCATTCAGACATATTAAACAACAACTGAGTAAGAATATAAAACACGGGTAGGTGAACAATTTTTCGTAGAATAAATAGGTTGAAGTCCCCAACACATTCCTAACATTGAAGAATGTCTGTCAGAAAACAATGTAATTAGCTTTATCTGCATGCAATTCACTTCCTCATTTAGGAAGCCTTACATCGCCTTACAGTTTGGTATTTTCATTACGCAGTTAGAATTCCACAGTGAAAAACTTGGAATTTAAAAAACGCATGCTGCATCTGCCTTTATTCTTAATCCAGTCACGGAAAAGCAGACAGGTAGGTAAGAAAAACTACTTTCAACCAGTGTGAACAGACATGTCAGTTCCTGAGGAAGTGGTTAACTGAACTGGCCGGGGTTGGGGAGGTGCAAAACCGAAGTCGGATCACCTACAGCAGCAACACACCAGGACACACAGAGCACGCTGTGCTGCTGCTTTCCTTATGGTAAAGAAATTAAGGTCACTTAACACTACCAATCACACACATAGATGCTTAGCTCTCAGGATACAGTAATGTGATTTTCTTTTTGTAATTTAGTCTTTCTTGCCACATGTCAAGTCAAACTTTAGGTCAAGAAATGTGAGTGGTTGACTTTTCTGCGTATACCACATCAACCACATCCTACCCGAAAGCAACAGTGAGAAAATACGCATTATTAAAAAAAAAAATAATAACATATCAGTAGCAGGCTTATTTTACTGAACAATCACAGATGAAAGCACTTTTATTTTAAAAAAATGTTGCCTCTATTTCTCCTTTACATTCTAAAACCAATTTCTAGTGGTTTGGCTACTTTGAAAACTAATTAGTATCCAAATTTAAATTCATACATACACACATATATGTATACATTTTAAAATTAAATGCTTTCTAGCCCTCACCCATATTGTTCTTCATTATTGCAGTAGCATGCCAAGGAAAAAAAAAAAAAAGTTACTCAATCTTTATGTTAGAGCGAGACACACAAATATTCATTTTCAGACAGCAGCCAGAAAAAGCACAGCAAAGCCAACAGTGTAACATGATTTTTAAACTCTTAAGGAAAGCAATCTTCTTGAGTCAGTCAGCAATCAATCTCAGGTTAAAACATTCAGGCTGGAAATAGGAGGGAAAAGAGGGGAAAAACAGCAAGAAGGCTTCTTGCTTTCTTTATATAACCTAGTAGTTAATTTACTTACTTGTAGTCCCCACTATTTCATTCCTAATTCCCCAATACGAAGCAAACGACACATTACTAACCGTCCCTGTGAGCAAAAAGAAACCAAATGCTCAGTGGACAAAAACGTTACCAAATGAAAAACTTACGAACCGAAGGTTAGAAAGGAGTTTTAAAAAGGGTCATGGCTATCTTGAGAAAATGCACCTGTACTTTCATGCGGACAAGCAGACGCTCATGTTCACACAGAATCCGAAATGCTGTACCTATTAATTACTTTCAAAAATCAGTATCTACCTGTCTGGTATTGATAAGGATCTCCAGCCCCCGCCCCCACGCCTGATAGTACCAGGTTGCTTTAAAGTTCAAATGTCTGCCTGCAATATTGGGGATCGGGGAACAGCCACAGCTAGCTTCCAGAAGGATCACCTTATTTTGCCAGGCTGCCTGTGGGTATTGTGATTAGACTCAAATGGGTAGTAAAATCCGTCAAAGACATTTCATAACTACATTTACAAGATCCAAAATTACACAATACATTCCAAAGGGGGGGGGGGGAACTCCAACCACTAGAAGATTGTTTTGACATACCAGTTAAGATTGCTGAATGATAAGTGTATTCATCATGTCACATACAGTTTAAAACACCCCTTTATAATCAATAAAATGAATCATTAAGGACAAGAAATCTTATGCTGCTCCCATAACAAGGACAGCATAAAGCAATGAGTTGTATCAGATATTATTCCATTTCACTCTACAATAAAAACTGTTTCCTCCAATAATCTCAAAATAAAAACTGGAAAAGCTTTAACTAGTTTTCAGATCTAAAATTCTGATTAAGTTGCATTTTCTAAGGTCCATGGATTATTTTAATTAATGGCCTTTAACCACTTTTTACCTAGGTAATGAATGTTTGTTAAAACAGAAAGCGAAGCATGGACAGGTTACTAAATGAAGTGAGTGGCACTGATCAAACAAGAAACAGCTCAAAGCTTAATTTCATCCCAAATATCAGGTCTGAAACTTTCACTTTATGAACCTCAGACACAGATGTGACAAAAAAATTAACTAGTCTAACTCTGTCGGCCTTAGCACCTTGCAACAATCAGAAAAAAAAGAGTAAGAATAATAAATCGGTCTTGTTTAGCTCCTGCACATCTTGAAGGGCTTGGGAAAGGCAGGTGAAAATTATCACCTTGCTTACATTTAAACCAGCTGTAATGAGATTTGCACTAATCTGTGGATAAATCAAGAGCCTGCCATGCACATGAGTCTTTCTCCTACCGACTTGAGTGTGCCTTATATAACCTGCTTCCACAACGCCTCAGACTATCCTGTTGCCTCACCATATGGGGTACACTTTGAAGAGTCATTTCAAAACACTGATTTTTAGTTAGATCATGAAATACTTTGGAACAGTCGGTAGTAAAATTTGTCCTTCAAAATCATCATGAAGATTAGAACTAGTTTCTAAACAAAAAATAAAAGTATTAAATGTCTGACTGCTACCTTCCTCAGAAGTGGTCTCTTTCCTCAGCTAACATTCAAGTTTTCTGATGGATTGTGATTTTGCCGAGTATAAACAAATTTTTGAAAAGAAAATCTAGGAAATATTAATCACCATCATTTTAAGTTTATTGACTTTTAAAAGATATCAAGCATTTGAAAACAAAAACTTTTTTTTGTAATTAAAAGGAAAATTAGGTCTAGCGTATGAGACTGAAGTTGAGACCTTTACTCCACCTCAATAAACACGCAACTTCTAATAGAATCACTTCCAGAGCACTATGCTCTATCACATGGGCAAAGATAACTACTGCCCCCTTGGCTTGCTCATATACCAGTAGCCAATTCAAATGGAAAAAAAAAACAAACAACAAACCACCACACACAACGCTTTAAAGAAAACAAGACTGAGTCTAAAAAAAAACCCAAATCTAACAAGCTTTATTTAAAAAGACAGGCAGGGAATGAATTTAAGGAAATATAACAACATATAAAGTCTGTAGAGTTACTAACAAGCATTTTTGCATTGCAGTGACCAGAGAAACAGATGAGAGACTACTCAATTTTTGAAAATAAATTTAAGTGACCAAAGAAAAAAAGGCAAATTTTTTAACATATTTAGTCATTTAAAGTTCAGGATAAATCCGGTAATTTCCAGGCCACATTAATTTTCCAGATGTAGGGTGACAAATAACCCTCGCCCATACAGACCACTAGTTCCACACACTGTCCATGAGCTTACCCTGAGGCTACACGTTGCTGACTGACCAGAATTTTTCACAGGAAGAAGGTCCTATCTACCCCTCTCCAGTTTCAGTGAGTTGTCTCCTCTTCCTGGATTCTAGTAAGAATGGACCTCTAGTAATGAAAAGGAAAAAGCAAAAGTAGAGACAAATACTCCTCGAGATGGAGAAGAAACACTAACAAGGAGCTAAGACGAAAAGGAAAGCAGAGACAGTGCAGTCTGTATCTGAGCTTTTACAGTGTATTTTTTTTTTTTGGCACTGACTGCAACAGTTAAACACCAAAAAACACAGTGTGGCAGAATGCTGTTATCTACCCCCAATGAAAAGAGAACAGTGTAACTGATTTAACGAAGAAAACAAAAACAAAAATTTGTCTGGGGGTGGGGGCAAACAAGAACACATCAAAAGCAGCCTGTCCCACTACAGCATGTTCTTGAAAGTCCTCCTACTCAGCCCAAAATATTTGCTCTCACATATAAATAAAGCATTCAGTGATCTTCGAGGTATTCTGAACTAACTGAATTCACTAAGTATTTACTAAACTACTTCAAACACAGAAAAAAAGGTCACTAATTCAGTGCATGGATTGCCACCATAATCATCATTCAGTAGGCCTCAAACAATTTCCTCGTACTCCGTAATTTTTATGGTCCCAGCGTCATTTCAGATGCCACAATGTATGTTTCTGACACACAGTGAAATTAAAGCTCCCATTCAACAGAAGTTAGAATGAAAGGAACAGATGCCAGGCAAATATATTTAACTTTTTCAGGAAATACCAGACTACAGCCAGAACTGCTCTTCGATATCTAACAAAATTATGTTATTTAAGAAAAAAAAAAAAGTATTCAACTGACAGTGAACGCAACAGTTTTAATCATACTTCAGAAGTACAATTCCCCTTTAAAAAACCCAAGCAAACCACTGAATGTCTGTTTTGGCAGACACAATCCTATCTGCCTGCAGCTTTCTCCTAAAGAACGAACTTCAAATTCTACATTGAACAATCACCGAGTCCAGTGAGAACTAATGCATCCTCAATCATGCAGAAAAAAAAAAGTGGAAAAAACTCTTCAAACTTGCACAGGCATGCTTGGAAGACTGCAATCACACTTAGGTGAGCCATGGCTCCTTGTGGTTTCATGAGTCTAGGAAAAGTTGTTGAGAAATACCACATCTGAGCTGTTCCACAGTACTTTTCATAATTACATGATTTGCACAACAGTGCTGAAGGTGTGGCACATCATACAAATTCAACTGATTCAGTCTGTGACACTTTGCCTCTTGCCAACACCTCCAGCTACTCTCCTTCCAAGTTCAGTAGAAGTTTCAGAAATTAAAGTGCATGGAAAGACTGCACTGTAACTGGAATTAGCAGAAATCTGCATGCAGTATTTCACGTGACAGCACTGACAAAAAGCCATTTGCAGCTTCTGTACGATTTCTACTTCATATATTCATCTCCTCTCCTCTTAAATGCCCAGTTACAACAACCACCACCATCACCTGCCTCTGGATCTGCAAAAAGGCATTCTGTGCTCTCTTTTGGTAGTCTTAAAGTTCCTCAAAGCAAATATGTGCTGCTTTCTGCATCGCTTACTGTACACAGCACGCTTGACCACATTCAATACTCGGGGGAAAGCACGCTATTTTCTAAAC